CCAATTCCCCCCCCGACGAGTTCCACGCTTCGCGTGACGAACGAGTCGTCACCTCGACGAGGTCTACGGATCGATGATCCTCTTGGTCTTGATTCGGGTCGAGGTAATCGGTAATTTTTGCTTTCGATTGGTTGAAATTTAATTTTTCGCTTCGTTGCTTCTTCCTTTGCGATTTGTAAAGTATTTATAATTTGTTTTTTCCTTTTTTTAGAGAGAGGAAGAGAGGAATTGGAGAAAAGAATTATGGTAACGTTAATGTTACGTGCACTTTTTCGTTATTCTTATATTTAATATAATTTGTCTTTCTGTAGGAAAGAAGAGTAATAATATCAAAAAATATTTTAAATTCCTCGAATTAAAATTATACTTTTTTTTTTTTTTTTTTTTTGTAAGATATGAAAGCACAATTTTTTAAAATAGTTTCTTATCATAGATCTTCCCGATGTTATTTATTTTGAATATAAAGCGTTTAATTTTTTTATAAAAGTTATATAATGTAAAAAAGAAGATGGAAACATAAAAATTGTATACGTCTATTGAAGTTTCTTTCGAAAGTTAATTATAAAAATACTTTAAAACTTTTTCTTTACATATTTACTCTTCTCTATTTCAACTTTTTACATCTACTTTTATTATTTTAATTATAAAAAAGAAATCATCAATGAAATATCTCTGTTTGTACGAAGAATAATATAATAAGAATAACTCCAAAATTTAAATAAATATAATCTTTAATAACTAAGTCCAGGAACGTTGAAAGAATTAATGTTCAATCTCTTTGAAATTGATTATTTTATGCGAACCTAAGACAGAAGGTGTACCCACACAAGGTATGAGAGTATAACATATGGCAATTAAGCTTGGACACGATAAAGTATGACGTACAAATATTTGTCCAATAATGCCTTTACCTTCGATCCACTAGATAGTACTTTTTCCATCTTATCAGAGTCGCATGGATCGAGATTCGGGGAAATAAAAATTAAATAAACGCCGATCAAGGAAAACTTCATTTCATTGCCTGGCTTATTGAACGAGTTATGAATCATCTTTGTGAAAATAAAACTGACTAAACAAAAGTAAAAATACTTAAATACCAATATTTTAATACCAATCAGTGAAATAAAATCTGATTTTTTCCTTTATATCTATCTATCGATAATTACTGTTTGAATATATTATTTTTTAACATATTATAGAATACAATAATAATTTAAGAATTAGAATTTTTTACTAAGATTTTCAAAATTATATAAAAGAGAATTTACAATTTTATGTTATTTACGAATGATAGGATAATTATCGTTGAAACAAACATTAATTTTTATAATTTCAAGCATGATCATTTAAGATTAAGAGATTAATGAATATTATTATTCCATTATTCCAAAACTATATTTTCTTTCCTCATCGTAAACGTTTGACTTCGATTATCATAGATTAAACCGAAATTTAACGAATGTAATAAAGAAAATACGTCTACGAAATCAAGTTTGGGGGCATCAAGTTTCCCTTCCTGTGTCCATCTTCTTCTTTCTTTTCCCCCCTCCCACGATCGTGAGGCGTAACTTGGGCCAAAAAGAACTTTGTAAGCTGCACGATGGTCAAAGAACGGAAACAGGCCGGCCAAAAAGAGTTGAGGCGCTTAACTTTAAGCTGAAACTAATGAGATTGAAACGCGATGGAAATTTTGTCTAACGAACGGAAGAAGCTTTCGGTCTTTGATTCAAAGTACGTCTACTTTTCGAAATTAGGATGCTTTTTAATGGACCACCGATATAACTTTTTTCCAAGTGACGAGGCTTTACCTTTACTTCAATTTTTAAACAACTTCGATTCGGAAATTAAAATCTCGAACGTGAACGTACGTACGCGACACCATGGATGGAAAAGCGGTGTTTGAAATTCCGTTTCCATCTCTAATTTTCGTTAACCGTTCTCGTGCACATGTTACAGATGATAGATTTCAGAATATACGTAGAATTGCTCAAGGAATTAGTATATCATTCAAGTTAAAGTACGTATCGTTTCAATGTACTGCAACATTGATTTAATGGGAAAGTTTGAAGCGTGTACAGAGAGTCACAACATTACAACAATCGCTATTTAGATATAGAGATAGATTTAACAATCACATAAAGCAATTCAATTAATTATAAAATTTTAATCAAAGAATATTTTATAACATAATTGTTCTAAAAAGTATTCTAAAATAATTTTCTATATATAATTTTTCGTAATATACTGAAACATATAATATCTATATTGATATCAGAAATTTTGACAATTATTTTATAAAAATATTGTAAGAGTAATCAGATAATAATATATATAATATTTATGAAAGAAAAAATATTTATTGTTTCGCTGTAAATGCATGAAAATGCTTCTCCTTATTAATTATAAATCATAAAATCGACATGTTAAAATTTTTTCCTCATTTTAGAAAAATTAATAACCAATTTATCATCATAATGAAAAAACATTTCACAAATTGCTTAAATATACATTAAATTCGTGAAAGTTTGATCAAAAAAAAAAAACAATATTGGTCGAATTTAAACGAACTTTTTCATCCCAGAAGGGGGAGGAGGAGGGAGGGGGCATCTGATTAAAAAACAGAAAAAACGTAGAAAGCAAATCGATGCGCCAGGAACCACTAATGTTGGAAAAACAGTCGATTCTCAGAGAGCGAACATTAACGTTCCTAGATGTACCCATTTCTGCTCGACAGGTAAAAAATCAGTGATGGCCTATTACCCTATCCGTGAGGAATCTCGAGACACAGAAAAGAGACCAACCTCGTCCGTCCACGAGGCGATTTCGATTGAGCCACATATGGTTGATCCAGTTGCCACTTTATCGAATGATAAGTCGTGGCGATTAAACAACACCCTTTCTCTTGTCGCGCACCTGTCCTT